TACAATAGAGACAGATTTGTTTAACAAGACACAAAAAGCACTATTTTTTTTTTTTTTTTTTTTTTTTTTTGAGACAGAGTCTTGCTTGCTCTATTGCCCAGGCTGGAGTGCAGTGGCATGATCTCAGTTCATAGCAACCGCCGCCTCCTGGGTTCAAGCCATTCTCCTGCCCAGGCTGGAGTGCAGTGGCATGATCTCAGTTCATAGCAACCGCCGCCTCCTGGGTTCAAGCCATTCTCCTGCCTCAGCCCCTCGAGTAGCTGGGATTATAGGCAAGCATCACCATGCCTGGCTAATTTTTGTATTTTCAGTACAGATGGGGTTTCTCCATGTTGGCCAGGCTGATATTAAATTCCTGAGCTCAGGTGATTCACCAACCTCGGCCTCCCAAAATATTGGGGTCACATGCATAAGCCACCACGCCCAGTCAAAAAAGCACTAATTATAGAAGACTTATAAATTTGACTAAGTTAAAATAAGAACGTTCTTCATCAAAAGACCATCTCTCCCTCCAAATCATATCAGCTGTTGTATTACGATCAAATACAACTTTGATTGTAATACATCAGCTGATATGATTTGGAGGGAGAGATGGAGACTGTCTCTCTCCAAAGTTGTATTTCTCTCCCTTAGGATTACAAGGCTTGCTGATTGCACATGGGGATTTGGGAAGGCGAGTTCAACAGTGGTCCTGTGCTACTGTGGAGATCTCTCCCTGAGGCTCACCCCATCCTTGCTACTTGAGCACACTCTAATTGACGAATACAAGGACCTGGTCTTCTGGGTTTTCCCCAATATGCCTAAGAGTAACTTTTAAACCCAAAAGACATGGGCTCACAGTCCAAAAGACATGGGCTCACAGTCCAAAATACCTAGATACCTGCAAAAAACACTATGGAAGAAAGTCAGCAGTATTCGCATATACATATTATCATCTATATTATCATTCATAACACATAGCACACTATGACATATAATATTCTGAAGATAAATTATGAGAACAGATGAACTAAGAATTTTAAACAAGCTTAATCAATAAAGAGTCAAATGAGGCCAGGCACAGTGGCTAACACCTGTAATCCCAGCATGTTGGGAGGCTGAGGTGGGCAGACCTGAGGTGGGCAGACCTGAGGTGGGCAGATCACCTGAGGTCAGGAGTTTGAGACCAGCCTGGCCAACATGGTGAAACCCCATCTCTACTAAAAATACAAAAATCATCTGGGCATGGTGGCATGCACCTATAATCCCAGCTACTCAGATGGCTGAGACAGAGAATTGCTTGAACCCAGGAGGTAGAGGTTGCGGTGAGCTGAGATCACACCACTGCACTACAGCCTGGGTGACAGAGTGAAACTCCATCTCAATCAATCAATCAAATAAACAGCCAAAATACTAGGCATAAAAAATAATAACTGAAATTAAAAAATAACAGATCCTTAAGCAGAAGTAACTCTACCAAAGCATTAACTGATGAGAGTCAGATCAGAACGAGAAACTATCACAGAAATAAAGAATATGAAGCAAATACAAAGAGATAAAAAACATAAGACGTAAGAGGTAGAAGGGATAGATCTTTTCAAAGAAATAATGATTGTGAATATACTGTTCAAACTAAAGAAAAAAACTCAAATTTAAAGGGCTCAAAAAAGTCCATAACTAGAGATGCTATGGTTATATTTACATACATAAAAATGAAAGAGATGGATGTTCAGAACTGCTCATTTCCTCCATACTTGAAAACCAAGTGGGGTCATGTGTTTTTCTAATGTTTATTTTTTATTAATAGGTGTGGCTCCAGTGTCTTTTGGCAATGGATACTGAGAGAAAGAAACCTAAAGGTATCTTAGTACTTTTTCCCTATTAGTGACTTAATTTTTTGTTGTTTTTTCTTCGGGGTAGGGGAATGGGGAGAGGGTGGTGGTGGTTTACAATTTGGACACTCAAAGGATTGTAGAGCCTCAAGGACTCCCAGGGATCTGTCTACCACACTTGGCCAGTTACCATGGTAAAAACCTCAACTGTGCCTCAAGCCTCCCAATCCAGAGACTGTTGTATTCTCTCCAGAAGACAACCTAATGTCTTCTGCTGAGTTAGACAATCCCATGCTTCACAAAATGAGAGAGAAGATATAAAGATTTGGTCGTTTTTTTGTTATTTTAGTATTTTTACAAAGTTGTATTATAAGACACTTCAAATATCTACAAAATTAGAAGGAAGAGTATAATAAACCCCCTTGTACCCAGCACTTCAATTAAACATCTAGCTGCTTCTTAAATAGACCTTCCAGCAGTTTAGTGTTGAAGAACCACTTATAATCCCTCTTCCAGGGATGCCTGGAGTCTCTGAAGGTCCCATGGTGTAATTTGGCTTGCTTCCCAGATTTCTTCACTGCTGATTTAGGGTTATGCTTTCCTGAGCCTGCTAGATCAATTTCAACAAATCCATTGCTTTTCCAACTCCAAAAATGGTATTGCCCTCCCATTCTCTTTGTCCATCCGGGCTTATGCCTTTTTCTTTACCCTATTCCTATCATTTCCATGGAAGGGAATGGAGGCCCAAACAGTATTCAACTCTTCACCAAACAAATGTGTTAATTTTTTCTTCTGTTGCTCCATTGCCCAGGCTGGTATACAGTGGCACAATCACACCTCACTGCAGCCTTGACCTCCTGGGCTCAAGTGATCCCTCCTGCCTCAGCCTCTCAAGTAACTGGGACTACAGGCACATCCCACCAGGCCCAGCTAATTTGGGTTTTTTTGAAGAGATGTGGTCTCGCCATGTTACCGTAGATGGTCTTGAACTCCTGGGTTCAATCAATCTGACCATCTCAGTCTCCCAAATTGCTGGAAACTTCTTAAACTGAGTCCTTCTTTTTTCGTTTGTATGTCTCTTGATTGTCATTCTTGTATGTTACAATTTTTAACATAATATTTACAATGATCTGAGTACATATTGTGTAACTTAATTTATGTATATTAATATAATACTTCCAACAACTTACATTATATTGTACTACTGTTATTCTGTTCCACAAGTGAGAACAATTAACATCTGAAGAGCTTACACAACACCCAAGCTATTAAGAAGTTGAGATTTGAACCCACAAGTGTCTGACCCTAAAGTCCAGTTCCAAACATGTGTGCATACCACTTCTCATTTGTTTTTCAATGTGAGGTAGGCCAGAGTACTAGTCTAAGGATGCAAGGTAACACACTCTAAGATATAGGTGTGATATGCCTGGGTAACTGACTCTTATTCGAATTCCACAGCTTTAAATTCAAGAAAGTACTTGGACCAAGCTAGGCTGGCCTGGGGAGGTTGTGAATGGTAATGAGGGCAGAGTTCATGCCTGGGATGTAACACTTGACCATTCTATGAGGCCATATTACATACAGATGCTCTTTGACTTATAATGAGATTATGTTCCAATAAATCTATCATTAAGTTTCAAATATTATTAAGTTAAAAATGCATTTAATACACCTAACCTACCAAACATCATAGCTCAGCCTGGCCTACCTTAAATGTCCTCAGAACACCTACATTAGCGTACAGATGGGCAAAATCATCTAGCACAAAGCCTATTTTATAATGAAGAACAGGGCGTTTCATGTAACTTACTGAATGCTGTATTGAACGTGAAGAATAGAATGACTGTACAGATGGTCCCCAGCTTATGATGGCTTGACTTACATGATTTTTTGACTTTATGACAGTGTAAAAGCAATATGCCTTCAGTAGAAACCACATTTTCAGTACCCATGCAACCATTTTGGGACATAACCCCATAGTAAATTGTGGAGCATCTGATATTCTACTGAATGCATCTTACTTTTGCCCATCATAAAGTCAAAAAATTATAAGTCAAACCTGCATTAAGTAGGGGACCATTTGTATCAATAAAAAGACTGATGAGGTACACTGGCCGTGGACATGAGGAGCTCTGACCCACATGCAGAGTAGCCTTCCAGCAGAACTGTTCCAGGCTTATGGATCTTAGGATATAAGGCAGGATCCTAATGAGTTAAAGAAAGTCACTTCCTCAGACCTGGACTCCACAGCCATGTATTCAATGAAAAGTCTCTTCGGGAGATCCTCTATCTTACCCTGACCACTGTCATGGGTCTTTCTGCTGTGTAGCCTGATTGTGGTGACCTCCTTCAGAATTATTTCAGTAAGGAACATTTTGGGCTTACCCATGTGATGTCTGTGTCTGGTTCCTGAGTCAACATATGATCTATTAAGAAAATTTGTCAGAGTGGTCACACTACTCCAATCTCCCTATTTGATTTCCTTCACATGAGCATTATTTTCAGAAAAACAATCAAGTATTCCATTAAAAAGAATGAAACAAGCAAAAAAAAAAAAAAAAAAGGTAGAAAATAAATTGCCGGGCATGGTTGCTCATGACTCTAATCCCAGCACTTTTCGAGGCCAAAGTGGGCAGATCGCTTAAGCGCAGGAGTTCAAGACCAGCCTGGCCAACATGGCGAAACCCTGTCTCTACTAAAAATATAAAAATTAACCAGATGCGGTGGCATGCACCTGTAGTACCAGCTACTTGGGAAGCTGAGGCACAAGAATTGTTTGAGCGTGGGAGGCAGAGGTTGCAGTGAATCAGGATCAAGTTACTGCACTTCAGCCTGGGCAACAGAGCAAAATCCCGTCTCAAAGGGGGAAAAAAAAAAGAAGAAAAAAGAAGAGATTATCTCTAAACTGAAAGTCAATGAAAAAAAAAAAAAGAAGAAAGACTTATCAAGGCTTCTGAGGGTGAAAAAATAATAAATAAAAAGCAGCATCAAACACTCTAGAGTCAAATCCCTCACAAACTTCAAGGGTCTGTCCATTGCCACACATAAATCTGTATCGAGTAGGAAGGTGAAGTCTTATTTTTAATTCTATAACACACTTCATGTATACTGTGCACATCAGGGAAGCATGAGGACATGGACATTAAGAAGACAGGTTCTAAAATGTCAAGAAAAGGTGTATAGACTCACTGTGGACTGTGTTTGTGCCATGTATTCACTCTCCATTTTATTCAGGCGCACATTTGTATCCTCAAGCAATTCTTGAATGTTTTCAGTGTGTCGCTTTTGAAGATCAAACTTTTCCTGTTCCATTTCTGCTACAGCATTGTGAAGCTACATCAGGAAATTAAGAATTAACTCTGTTACTACTACGAAATCGACTATTTTGTAATTTAGGGAAAAAAATGTTTCATATATTCCTCTATTTACATATATGGTGACCTGAACACCAAAAGATATTAAAAAAAAATAAAAATAAAAATAAACATTCAAGGTAAAGATATCATATAAAAAGTAGGATCAAGAAACATTTAATTTTTTTTTAGTTTCCTGAATTGAAAATGTTAATGGATGAACAAATAGTAAAAGGAACTATCTGCCTCAGGTAGAAACGGTAAGCAAACCAGACATATAATACAAGTAACCAACATTAGCATTAGTCTGAAATAAGAAAACAGAAACGTTATAATATTGCTACTAATTAGGAATATTGTCTGACTGTCTGCATTGTTCAATGTAGTACTTGAAGTCCTAGCCAAAGCAATTACGAAAGAGAAAGAAATAAAAAGCATTCAAATAGAAAAGAAGTCAAATTATCTCTTTGCTGACAACATGATTTTATAGCTAGAAAATCCTAAAAACTCTGACAAAAGGCTCCTAAACCTGATAAACGACTTCAGTAAAGTTTCAGAACACAAAATTAATATACAAATTTCTATACACCAATAACATTCAAGCTGAGAACCAAATCCAGAATGCAATCCAATTTATTTATTTATTTTATTTTATTTTATTTATTATTTTTTTTTTTTGAGACGGAGTTTCGCGTTGTTACCCAGGCTGGAGTGCAATGGCGCGATCTCGGCTCACTGCAACGTCCGCCTCCCGGGTTCAGGCAATTCTCCTGCCTCAGCCTCCTGAGTACCTGGGATTACAGGCACGCACCACCATGCCCAGCTAATTTTTTGTATTTTTAGTAGAGACGGCGTTTCACCACGTTGACCAGGATGGTCTCGATCTCTTGACCTCGTGATCTGCCCGCCTCGGCCTCCCAAAGTCCTGGGATTACAGGCGTGAGCCACCGCGTCCGGCCCTGCAATCCAATTTAAAATAGCCACACACAAAAAATAAAATGCCTAAGAAGACATCTAACCTTCAAGGAAGTGAAATATCTTTATGAGGAGAACTACAAAACACTGTTGAAAGAAATCAGAGATGACACACATACACACAAAGATTGAAAAACATTCCATGCTCATGCATTGGAAGAATTAATATCATTAAAATGGCTCTAGTGACCAAAGCAATCTATAGATTCAACAGTATCCTATCAAATTACCAATGTCATTTTTTACAGAATTAGATAAAATAATTCTATGATTCATATGGAACCAAAAAAGAGCCTGAATAAGAAGAATGAGCCAGGCATGGTGCCTGATGCCTGTAGTCTCGGCACTATTGGCAGGCTGAGGCGGGAGGATCACTTGAGGTCAGGAGTTCAAGATGAGCCTGGGCAACACAGTGAGATCCCATCTCTTTAAAAAAAAGAATGTTTTAAATTAACCAGATGTGGCAATGCACACCTGCAGTCCAAGCTACTCAGGAGACTGAGGCAGGAGGATCACCTGAGCCCAGGAAGTCAAAGACAAATGGGATTACATCAAACTAAAAAGCCTCTGCACAGAAAAAAAAAAAATCAGCAGAGCAAAAAGGCAACGTACAGAGTGGGAAAATATATTTGAAACTATACATTTGATATGGGGTTTATATCCAAAATATGTAAGACACTCAAACAACTCAATAGCAAAAATCAAATATTCTGATGATTAAAAAATAACCTAATGACTTCTTCAGGTCAAGGATCTAAATAAACATTCCTCAAAAGAAGACATAGAAATGGCCAAAAGATATACAAAAAATGCTAAACCTCACTAATCATTAGGGAAAGGCAAATCAAACTTTCAATGAGATATCATCTCACTGTAGTTAGAATTATTATTATTAAAAAGTCAAAAGACATGGACACAGGAAGGGGAGCACTACACACTGGGGTCAGTTGGAGGGAAATAGGGGAGGGATGGTGCGGGGTAGGGAGCTGGGGAGAGATAGCAAGGGGAGAAATGCCAGATGTAGGTGATGGGGAGGAAGGCAGCAAGTCACACTGCCACGTGTGTACCTATGCAACAATTTTGCATGTTCTTCACATGTACCCCAAAACATAAAATGCAATAAAATAAATGGGGGAAAAAAAAAGTCAAAAGACAGCAAGTGTTGGTGAGGATGAAGAGAAAAGAGAACGCTTATATACTGTTAGAGGGGAATACAAATTAGTACAGCCATTATGGAAAACAGTATGGTTCCTCAAAAAATTAAAAATAGAACTACCATATGATCCACCAATCCCCCTACTAAATATAAATCCAAATAAAATAAAATCAATATGTCAGAGATATCTGTATTCCCATGTTTACTGCAGCACTATTCACAATAGTCAAGATATGGAATCAACATAAGTGTCCATCAAGGGATGAATGAAGAAAATGTCACACACACACACACACACACACACACACACACACACACAAGAATACTATTCAGCCATAACAAAGAATGAAATCCTGCCATTTGCAACAACATAGATGATCTCAGAAGGATACTGGGTTAAGTGGAGTGAACTGGGAACAAAAACGCAAATACATAGTCACACTCATGGAATTTTAAAAATTGAGCTCATAGAAGTAGGGAACAGATAGAGATTAGAAGAGGCAGAGGAGGAGAGGGAGGAAGGCAGATAGACGTTAAAGAGCAGGTACAATGTTACAGTTATTGATAGGGTTTGAATTGTAATCCCCATAATCCCTACGTGTCAAAGAGAGACCGGTGGAAGTAACTGAATCCTGGGGTGGGTTCCCCCATGCTGTTCTCATGATTCTGAGTGAGCTCTCATGAGATCTGATTGTTTTATAAGTGTGTGATAGTTCCTCTTGTGTTCATTCTTCTTCTTGCTGCCTTGTGAAGAAAGTGGCTTACTTCCCCTTCACCTTCTACTAAGGTTTCCTGGGGCCTCCCCAGCCATGCTGAACTGTGAGTCAATTAAAACTCTTTCCTTTATAAATTACCCAGTCTCTGGCAATTCTTTATAACAGTTTGAAATGGACTAATACAGTTATACAGGAGAAATAAATTATGGTTTTCTAGTGCACTGTAGAGTGATTATAGTTAATAATAATGTATTATATAGTTCAAAAAGTTAGAAGACAGGAATTTGAATGTCCTCACCAAAAAGAACTGATAAATGTTTGAGGTGATAGAAATGCTAATTACTCCGACTTTATCAGTATGTAATGTATCTATGCATTGAAATATAACACTGTACCCTAAAAATATATAAAATTATTACATTTCAATTAAAAATAAAATAAGTTTATACAATAAATTCTAGTTCATATTATATTATCTAAAATTTCAAGAAACAAATGCTCCAGTGGCCCAAATACAAAGTTAAAATGGCTTAATTTCCAAAAATTGTTTTAGTGCCATTTAACTAATTTTTCTTAAAATCCATTGGCCATGATAAGAAGTCCAGAACATTAATTCAAGAACTAGTCAAAATAATGTTTTCTCAATAAAAACTAGTTTATAGACCATAAGCCTCCAGAAGAAAATATACCAAAACATGAACAGTAGCTATTTCTAAAAAGCCTAGAATTTTAGTTATTTTATACTTTTCTGTATATTTTGTGACATCTATTATTTTTATAATTAAATATGTTACTTGGAAGCATAAACTTTTATATTTTCCATTACTGTTTTATGCAGCTTACCTTTTTTTCCCAGTCATTATTTAGAGATTCTGTACTTTGTTCACATATCTTTTTTAGCTCTGTAATCTGGTCTTCTTTAGTCTCTCTGATAACTTGACAGTCACGTATCAGTGTCTGAACTGTCAAAAATGATGAAAACATAGTTAAACCAATTCTAGATACATAGAGTTAAATGATTTAAAATTCAGTTAACAGATAATTCAATTTTTCACCAAGTCTTCTCAATGCTTTCTTCTAAAATATCTTTTATTCCTTGCTCTTTTTCTCAATTTCTACCACCACAGACAGCCTTAGTTAAATTCATCATTACTGGGTCCCTAGACAATTTTAACAGTGTATTGGCCTCAAGCATCATTCCCCTCCAAGGAGTCCTCTGTTGCTTTGAGGAAACCTTTCATCATTATTCCAAGTGAAGTAACTCAAGAGTGGAAAACAAATACCGTATGTTTTCACTTTTAAGTGGGAGCTGAGCTATGGGTATGCAAAGGCATACAGAATGGTATAATGGACTTTGGAGGTTCAGGGTTCAGAAGCAGGAGGTGGAAAAGGGGGTGTGGGATAAAACTACATATTGTATACTATGTACACTACTCGGGTGATGGGCACACTAAAGTCTCAGGCTTCACCACAGTACAATTAATCCATGTAACCAAAAACCACTTATACCCTCAAAGCTATTGAAATTTTAAAAATTTAAATAAATAAAGAGGGCTTTCACTGGTGCAAATCTGGTAGTTACTCCCAGGCTTACAAACATTCTACAGCTCTCCTCATCTAAAAGATAATAAAAGTCAAAGCCACTGACATGGACAACAGTTCCTCGCGATTCTGATCATAACTCTTCCCATTTGCATGTTGTAAACCAGTATTATAAACACACCGACCTATCTGCAGATTCCTGAGTTCATATTCCTTCTTATATCACTGCCTAAATATGATCATCCATCTACCTAGAATACTTTTCCCTCCCTTATTGAAAAACTCCATATACACCATGGAATACTATGCAGACATAAAAAAGGATGAATTATATGTCCTTTGCAGGGACATGGATGAAACTGGAAACCATCATTCTCAGCAAAATGACACAAGAACAGAAAACCAAACACTGCATGTTCTCACTCATAAGTGGGTGTTGAACAATGAGAACACACAGGGACAGAGGGAGGGGAACATCACACACCAGGGCCTGGGGGATGGGGGACTAGTGGAGGAATAGCATGGGGGCTAGGGGAGGAACAGCAGGGGGATCGGGGAAGGACAGCATTAGGAGAAATAGCTAATGTAGATGACAGGTCGATTGATGCAGCAAACCACCACTATGGCACATGCATACCTATGTAACAAACCTGCACGATCTGCACATGTACCCCAGAACTTAAAGTATAATAAATAAATTTAAAAAAAAAACTCCTACTTATCCTTAGAATCTCAACTCAAAAGTCATACCTTCTTTATGAAGCAGTTACCAACCAAATTGCTCCCCTTGAAGGAACAGAAAGAAATTCCTCTTTATTCCCATGAAACCTCAAGTATTTCTCAGTTAAATCACTTATTAACATTATAATGATTCACTTGCCTGTTTCCTCTTTAATGAGACTACATTCACAGAGGAGAAAGAGATTTCAACTTTTTATCCAAAGGGCATAACAGTGCCACATATGCAAGTGCTCAAAAAGACACACACTGAATGAATAAATAAAGAACCCCTAATTTCAATACATTATTGCTGCTAGATACTTTTAAATCGTTTTCGAGGTTTATGTTACCAACACGAAATCCATTTTAAATTATATAAAATATTTGTCTTATAAATCATTTATGTTTCCATCTTCTTTACTAAAATTATTTAAACAGTCACTGATTTAAGTAAAACTTTAATATACTCATGTCTTCTGGATAGTAAAATGAAGTCAGCTCCATTTTTAATTGAATATAATATTATCATAGTTTACTAAAAGTGTTTTTATTCATTTACTTCGAGATGGCAAAATTTTTGTAAACATTTCCCTAAAAATTGTTTTCATTCCTGTATATCAACTGCACAACAAATAAGGAGAGGAGATGAATCCAAGTTAACCTAATGTGAGTCTTCACCATCTACAATATATTTTACTTTACACTTCCAAAATTAAACTAACACCTGGTTGCAATTGAAAATGCCTTTAGAAACGTTATTTTTAAAACCTAGTCATTTTTAAACCTTAGGCATGTTTGAATTGCCTGTTTTGAATCAGGGTAAAGAAGAAAACTTGGAAATAAAATATTTTTCTAGCCACTGATAATATTTGGAGAAAGAACCTAAACTAATTTACAATTGTGTTTACCAACATTTAAAGGTGGAAATGAATCAAAAAATATTTATTTCATTGGTTAACTACTCTACGTAATCGCTGTCCTAAGTTGTTAAGGGCATTATCATTCACTCAGATACACTCAGGTTTGGTGATTTGGGGGAGAGGCAGTAAGTCCTATAGAAAAACTCCTAAATGAAAACCTTCCCTTCTCCTTTTCTCTTATTCATTGCCTAGATCTTCTCATTCACTAAATCATAATTCGCCCTTCAAAATTTATTCTTCAGTTCCATTCTAACTACTCCCAGTGCCATCATTCAGATATTCTGGATCCTTCTGACCTTAACATGCAAAATTACAGCAGCACAGAAGCGTAACATCTTTGAGTTGGCAGGGACTTTACATATTATTTATTCCAACCGCACGATTTTATAATGAGTAAACCAAGGCCCAGAGATGACTTGCTGTCATATATCAGACACTGATAACAGAGCTGGGATTAGAGCCTATGTTTTCTAGTAAGTAGAATGCTCTCTCCCTCACTCCATTCTGCCTCTGCCTAACAGACTAGTCTGTTCAACACACCCTCCATTACCAGGCTACTCCTCCCAAAACATGAGGTCCTAAAACTCACGTCTCAAAACCCTTCCCTGGCTCTTTACATCCAGCATCTACAGCACAAAGTTCAAGCTTCTAAATCTAAAATTCAAGGTCATGCTAAATCTAGCCCTGAGCCAACTGTCTTAATATTTTAAAATCTATCTCTTAATACATGGGATATCCACTCTAGCTAAGTAGTTGAGAAACATCCTTCGTACAATTTACCAATTTCAGATTCCCGTCCCAATACTGCAACTCTTCTCTCTACCTAACCAAGAATTTAAAACTTCACAAAATTTTACAAAAGTTCCTTTCTTGAAACAATATTTTCAACACTCTCTCTGATGACCACCTATTGATGTAGATGTTTTGACCCCTAATCACAGTCAACCAGGGTCAGTGTTCGCTCAAGCAGTTACCTCCTCATGCCTGACTTTCCAACTGTCCATGGCCAACTTAGTACTTGATTACATGCTTTCTTTGCCTTCTTAATAAAAGTGTAATTAGGAAAAACTTTTTAATTTTTTCTGTCAATAACAATACCAGCATACATTATCAGACATGAAAGTAGATACCTAATGGAATGAATTTTACTAGAGAAAGAATAATTTTCTTTGACTTCTTCATAAAGAAAGCCAGTAAGTCCTAATTCAATGACTGCCCTCAATTCCCTATGGCAGCTCTATCCCAATGAGGATAGAGTTAAGAAGAGGAAGTGAAAGCAACATACTGCTCCAACTCTGTAACTAAACCAACCACCACTACTGCCTCATCACTGTCACTACACACACACACACACACACACACACACACACACACACACACACACA